GCATCCTTAGGCACAAATTAACCACCTCCTAGAAACCTGCATCACAGTTCTGTCCGAAAACTTTCCCATATCAAAGCAACCCCTCTTATTAATCAACCAAGCTATTAGTTTTTTTGCCCTAACTATGAGACAAGTACCAATCCATGACAAAATGTTACAATACATGTACGGTGTATGTGTGTGCGTTGGGGATGTTTATTAGTTTAATTAGTTTCCCTTCTATACTCCCCTGTTAGTGTTATAACTTTCTGAGAGGTTCACAACATGCACTAAATCATCCAATTAAAAATATATAATTAATACAATAAAAACACAATAAACCATGTCACTAGATAAAACAATGAACCGCCCTTTAAGCAGAAATACACAAATCAGAACCCATTAGAGCCTCTCAGGACAATATTAACACCAGTAGAAGACCGCTACATAGACTTCCATCTTGATTCACTTCCTAAAAACAGAGAAGGATGGCGCCTGACAAACCTCAGTGAGAAGCGTATTCCAGAGGGAAGGGGCCACGACTGAGAAAGCTCGATTCCTAATGTTGGCTTTTTTTGTTATTGTTGTTGTTCTTTGTCCTTGTCGGGGCCACAGCTGGGCAATTAACTGAAGTTGATAATAGGCACTCATGACTATAGCAGATATTTGTCCCTTTGTATAGAAAGATAGGTCTAAGAGTTCTCCAAGCTGTGAACACCATCCTTCAGGGGGAGTGTAACCCCATCAAAGCCAGTTAAATATCCATCCCAACAGTAGGATCTTCATCTTATCTTGATTCAGTTTCAGTTCATTACTCTTGGGGCAGAGTGTGTAAGAAAATTTAAGCATGGCTTAAATTAAAACTAAAACTTATTATGCAGCAGGTGAAATGGTCCAGTAAGGAACCTACAGAGCAGATTAGTTTCAAGTCTCCCTCAGACGACCACCCCTTATTTGTTAGGTTGCCTCAACTGGTGCTTACTGCCTCAATCATTCATTCATTCATAGACTCTAGTGATGCAAAATAATAAAATGTTCTGTTTACTTACAGCTCTTCAGTTACAAAAACAAAGTAAAATGTTTACTTGTTACATCATTGAGCTTAACAGGTTAACTAGCTTCAATAGTGACTAACAGGTTACATAGCTGACAGAACACTTCGCTCTAACTGTCCACTTCTGACAGACTCCATTACTAACACTGACAGACCTCTGACCGAGAAAAGGTGGGGAAAAAGTATCTGGGGTAGAGAGGGAACTATTGGGTGCTCCTGAGTTGACTGATGGCAAACTCAGTCCAGAAAAGTCCCTCCTCCCAGGCAAAACCTCTCAAAGGCATCATATGCAGGTTGCAATATTCCAACAATTGGCCCTCGTCCGGTCCACTGTTGCTGCTAGGCAGCACTCAAGGATCTGCACAGCACCACCTGCAAGTGAAGAGAAGGAGAGAGAGAGCGAGAGAGCTGCCAGTGGCCACAAACTCCAGTCTCCCTATGACTTCTCTCAGTAGCTTCATATAGATACTAATGAGCACTGGACATCCTTCTTGGCCCTTGCAATGGAGGCCCCAAGAACTCCAGTCTCCATATAACTTCTCTCAGTAGCTTCATATAGATACAGTACTAATGAGCACTGGACATGCTTCTTGGCCCTTGCAATGGAGGCCCCAAGGAAGGGGTGGACAACATCTCCCCAAGCTGTACCACCTGGGATCGGCCCTTAAGGAAGGCCTGGATCATGGGAAAAATGGAGACCCCCCAAATCCCAACCTTGAAAGCCATCCTGGAAGGATACCGCTGTCAATGATCTCGACCATTGCAGAAAGATCCCGGAGGACACTCCCTCTCTGCCTTCCTCAGGAAATTGTCTTACAGTGTGACCAGCACTGTTTCAGTCCCTTGGCAAGCCTATCCGCTTCCTCCAGGAACACCTACTTGAACCTGTGAGTGTTGGGGGCAGAACACACACACATACCACTCCAAAAAAAATAACAACAAAAAAAGCAAACACAGGCGTGGCTATTCTCACTTAGATCTTACTCCATGCACAGAATTCATTCACCTAGTTTTTGAGCACTGAAAAGTTACAAGAAAGTCAAAAGACTGCCAGGTTCCTGCATGTAACAGAGTGCTGTATTTGGCATGGAAAGATTTCTGAGGGTTGTTTTTTTTTGGAAGCAGGCATATGTACCAAACACCACTTGTATTAATATTTTGCATACATCTATCGATATCTTTAGTTAGCTCTCACTTCCATAATGTCAAGAGGACACTTTGGCAGGTGCGTGTTCTCATGTCAAGATCAGAAAACCCATACCTGTTACAAAATTCACTTGCACATAATACCCATGCACGGGACAAAGTTGCCCCCCACCCCATTCTCTTTGCTGACACTGAGTGAAGAGCAGATGGTAGAAGCCTGTAATCAGAAAACAATGACACAAGTGGCTAACTGTTCGTCTTGAATAGAAGGATCCAAATCTTTCCACTACGTAGCAGTTGAGCCTAGTAGAAATGGAGTGTAGTGTAATGCAAGGTGAAAGTTACGCATCCCGTTATAAAAGAAATGAACGCATCAGCTTAAATGCATCTTCTCTTTAATTTTTTTTGTATAAAAATATAGACTTTGTCAAAGTATAAACAATAAAAACACTATTAGAAAGCTAATGTTCACTTAGCTTTGCCCAAAAAATATAATAGTGATAATGATGAGTCTTCCCACAAACTCTTCTTCTTTTTTCATCTGTGAATCCAGAAGCAATATAAACTAAATAGGGGTTCACATTAAAGGGGTAACAAGTGCTTACATGTTCCTCTTTTCATCTAGCACAAGGTGAAATGAAACCATTTCCAACACTGAACATTCACTTTTTGCTACAGTAGATAGAAAAGAACAATCGTGTCTGAGCTGAAGTTGCAGTTTGCAGAAGTGAGTGGCATCTCTGAACGTTCTCGGATTCATTTTGGAGTCATGTATGAGGTTGTAACTCTGTGCAGATGGACCTGTGCTTTCAGCTTATTTCCTGTCCTTTCCGGGAAGGATGTCTGTAACCCAGTAAAGAAACAGAGAAGAGATTGCCTTGGCGTGGTCTGCAAGAAAGAAAGAAAGAAATCCTCCATAAGACGATAATATGATTGTTTTGAGAAAACAAGTTCCTTATCATAACACTGAAAATGGACAGGTTAGCCATCTGTAATTGTAGTTCTTCGAGTGGACCTCTGTGATTCACACCCTGGGGTGATTCGCGCCTGTGTGGAGCCTCAATGGAAGATTCTAGAGCTTCTGCGGTAGCAATAAACCCATTAGAATATACCCATCCCCACCTGTATAAGTACCTTGGTGCCAAGCGTCCTCTTTCAGTTGTGTCAACCGCCGCTTAATAGTAAGCAAACAATGGTGTGACAGAGGGGAGGACGGGCGGGATGTGTGAATCACAGAGGTCCACTCAAAGAACTACAATTACAAGTGGGCAACATGTTGTTCTTCTTCATGGCATCTGTGAATCACACCCTGGGTGACTAATAAGCTGTCTTACCCAGAGGCAGGGTGTCACACCAAGGTAGAGGCTAGAACAGCACATCGAAATGCCTCATCAGACTTCTGCCAGAGGGCAAGTCTATAATGATGGATAAACGTGGACAGCTGTGTCCAAGTGGCAGAGGTGCAGTTGTCCGGAAGAGGTACGCCATGGAGAAAGGCTGTAGAGGCTGCCACTGTCCTGGTGGAGTGAGGGTGAGCCATTCTAGGGGTTGGTCGTCAAGCAAGTTGATAAGCCAAATGAATGGTAGAGGTGACCCATCTGGAGACAGATTGGGAAGTCACCTGATGACCTTTGTAGGTAGCTGATGGCTTATGAAGAGACGAGATGACTGTCTAAAAGGTTGGGTACGTTGGAGATAAAAAGCAAGAGCTCTTCTGACATCCAACGTATGGAGTATTTTTTCTTGGTTTGAAGAAGGTGACAGAAAAAATGAAGGAAGGACAATCAGCTGGGCAAGATGAAATTGAGAGACAATTTTTGGGAGGAAGGAAATGTCTATGAATAACTTCACCTTATCGGGGGAAAAATGTAGATAAGGGTAGTCAGAGCGTAAAGCTGCCAATTCACTAGCGCGTCAAGCTGAGGTGATGGCTACGAGAAATGCTGTTTTTAAAGGTGAGAAGTCTTGAGTCAATTGTAGCTAATGGCTCAAAAGGAGCCTCGGTAAGCTGTTTCAAAACAAGAGTTAGTGACCATTGTGGAGAGCGAGGTTGAGTATCTGGGTAGATATGAGAGAGCCCTTTCAGAAAAAGTTCTGTTGTTGGATGTTTGAAGAAGTTTGCTGCTGGAGAATTTGGAGGTTGTTATATTATTGCCGAAAGGCAGACTCTCAAGGATGAGATGGAGAGGCCCTTGGATGTGAGATGTAGGAAGAAGCGGAGAACAGTGGAAGTGATGGATTGATGGAGGATGATAAGGAAGATTTGGTAAAGGATTGAAATTTCTTCCATTTGTACAGGTAGGCTTTCCTTGTGGATGGTTTTTTGGCATGATGAAGAACATTCATTAATGAGGGAGAATCCTCCACACTGCCAGGTGCACAACAGGTAAGTCGACAGGTAAGTCCAGGTGTAGGACTTGGGAATTGTTCTGTGTGAGAAGGTGTGGCAGGTGGGGGAGATGGTGGATGTCTGATGAGAGTCTGTGGAGAACTGGGAACCAAGTCTGTCCCGGCCATCAAGGGGCTATAACAATGGCATTGGTTTTGTCTTGTTGTAGACGGACAAGAACTTTGTGGAGGAGAGGGAGGTAAGAGTCTTGGGCTAACGGCTGACAAAAGCATCTCCCTGGGAATGTTTTCCTATTCTTGCTTGGGAGCAATATAGTTGGTATTTCCAATTCGCTCAGGAGGCAAAGAGATCGAGAGTCGGTGTGCCCCATTTCCAGCATAGTTGATGGAATACTGATTCATCTAGTTCCCACTTGTAAGCTTGGGCATCTGTACGGCTGAGCAAGTCTGTTAGGTCATTGTCTTGGGCAGCAATGTGTAAGGCTGTGAGACAGATGTGATATTGCAGACACCATTCCCAGAGGTTGACCGCTAGGTAGAGGAGACCTGGGGAGTGGGTGCCTCCTTGCTTTAGGATGTAGTACATCGCCGTGGTGTTGTCTGTGGCGATCTGTACCATTTTTCCTACAAGAAGGTTTCTGAAAGCCTTGCAGGCCTTTATGACAGCTAGTAGCTCCAACATGTTTATGTGGAAGTTTTTCTCTGTGAGACCATTTGCTATGGACTGTGAGGGATTTACAATGAGCCCCCCAGCCAGTGCGACTGGCATCAGTAGTGACCTGTATTCGTGGGCAAGGTTGTTGGAACAGTCACCCAATAGAAAGGTTGGTATGGGAATGCTACCACTGAAGTTGAGAGGCCAGTTCTAGAGTGACTCTTAGGAGAGTGTGGGGAGAGTCTGTCAGTGGATCGAATAGGGCCAGAAACCAGGATTGGAGAGATCTCATTTTGAGACGCACATGCTGTACAACTGACGTAATAGAGGCCATGGTGCTTAGAACTCGTTGCACCATTAAGACAGGTATCAAGGCATGCCGAGTGAAGCCACGAAGTAAGGTGAAGAGATTCTGTCTCTTTTTTGTAGGGAGGAACACACGAGCTCATGTGAAGTCTATGAGCACACCTATGTAATGTATAGTCCTTGTAGGTTTTAATTTTGATTTCTGTTCATTGATAGTTAGACCGAGATCGCAAAAAAGGGTGAGGGTGAAACGGGTGTCTCGTTGAGCTTTGTGACGGGCATGTGCTACAAGGAGCCAGTCGTCAATATATGGAAAGACGAGAATGTTTTGAAGTCTGAGGTAGGTGGCTACCGGCACCATGCACTTGGTGAATACACTCAGAGCTGTTGCAAGGCCGAATGGGAATCTTTTGAATTGGTATGCTTGTGATTCAAGTTGGAAACGAAGGAATTTTCTGTGTGCGGGATGTATTGCAATATGAAATTAAGCATGTCTTAGGTCTATGATGGTGAAACAGTCATTTTTTCAAAGTAAGGGAAGAACTGATTCTAGAGTAACCATGCAGAATTTTGTGGTGATGATGTAGTTGTTTAATAATCTTAAATCTAGAATAGGGTGAAGTCCCCCATATTTCTTGGGGACGGTGAAATAGTGAGAGAAAAACCCGGTGTTTTTTTGATAGATAGGTTGTATGGCATCATTGAGAAGTAAATTCATTATTTCTTCTTGCAGGGCTTGTGACAAAGGAGTAACAATGTGTGTTGTTGGAGGAAGTTCAAAGAAATGGATGCAGTAGCCATTTTTGATGATGGAGAGTACCGAGGAATCGGTGGTGATGGATTCCCATCCAGGCAAGTGTTTCCAGAGGGCAGGGTTGGTGGGGTGGGTGGCGATCTTGGTCAGAGGAACATCAAAAATGGTGTTTGGGTTTCCAGTCATTCTGCCTAGTGGCAGCCTGCTGCCAGGTTTTGGCTCTTTGGTTTTTGAAGTATGGATTGTAAGAGGTTTGTCGTGGAGGGTCTTGTTGGAATCTCTGGTACAAGTTATAGGGTTGTTTCCATTGATTTTGCTGAGGATGTTGCTGATAGGAAGGGTAAACTCCCCAACGTCTGGCTGCTGAACATTTCTTTTGTATGTTTTCTAGTATATCGGCAGTCTCCACATGAAAAAGACCTGCTCCATCGAAGGCGAGGTCTTTGACACGTACCTGAGCATCTTCGGCTAAGCCTGCCATTCTGAGCCAGGAAAAATGGCATAGGGCCATGGACTTGGCTGCAGCGTCTATGGTGTGGTGGGCGGAAAGCATCTGTTTAGCAACTGAGAGACCTTCTTGTTGGAAGGTTTGAGCTAGTATCTTTTTATCCTCTGGGACGGATTCAATAATGGTGGACATGTTGTCTCAGAGGAAGTGTTGGTAAGCTCCCATGGCTCCTTGACAATTAGCGACTCGCATGGTGAAGTCTCCGGAAGAGTAAAGCCATCTACCCATGGAGTCTATTCGCCGGCTGTCTTTATTTGGTGATATGAGAGATTATTGGTGTCAAGATCTCGACTGATAGGTTTCGACAAATATAGAATTTGGAGCTGGTTGTTTTTGGAGGAAAATGGCTCCTGGGTCATGGATTCTATAGAGGTTATCAATCCACTTAGACATGGTATGGGAGGAAGCTGGTTTTGTCCTCTCCATAGTACTAAGGAGAGATGGCAACTCGATATGTGTACTGGAGTGGTTGCATTTTTAGAGATCGGATCATATAGATGATTGGCTGGTTCTGTTGATGGTTGGTGGATTTGCAGATCAAGGGATTTAGCCATGCAAATTATAAGTTGGGCATACGTCCGGAAATCTTCTGCTGGTGACAATATCCGACTCTGGAGAGGTAAGTAATACCGATGGAGTTTGCGGCCGAGATCCAGGTTCAGAGCCATCAAGGCCACGTCTGGAGTCGACGGACTGTCTATCAACTTCCATGTCGAGAGGCTGAGTTCCGTGGTATTGCTGGTTATGAGTCAGAAAAGATGGAGGCAGCATGTCCATGGACATCTGTCAATGCTGAGGATTGTTGACATCGAAAGACGGTGGTTGAGCATCAACAGACCTTGACTGGTAGGGATAGACCTTGGTGTTGAGCTTGGATTTACCGGAGGACAGGAACTGTGTTGATGTAACAGAATGGAGCGTGTGTCCTTGGATCAGGATGAATATTAAGGATCGTCGCTATCAGAGCCTGTGTCTCTATGATGTGAAAACGGAGCTTGCTGATGCAATGGCATAGCAGTAGAATAAACAGACGCTGGCAATGCTGAGCGTGAAGAGTGATTTCCGTCATCTGTTGTAGTAGGAAAGCATTGGGAGGCTGGGGCTGCAGAAGGATTGCTGGAAGGAATGGAAGGTTGTGGACTGGGAGGAGAGGATGTTAGTCAGTTGACTCTATCATCCCATTCTGGAGACTGTAGAACAGGGTTGATGGGATGGAAGTTTATCATCATCTGAGGGAGATCTGACCGAAACTGATTCAGAGAATTGTTGTGGTTGTGGTGGGATGTCTGTAGGCTTAGACTGTTTAGCTTGTTTAG